GAATAAAGTTGGAAACAAGGTTAATAAAGTTCTTTTCCTCGTAGATGGTTTTATTTTTTATTTCATTGACATTGATTTGTATACAGAAAGCAAAGTTGTTTATAGAAAGCTAATCATGGCATGTAACATGTCCGGTAATCTTTGATGAAATTTGATTAAAGATTTTAAATGATTTTAAATGGCAGTATAATGTAAAAAAAATTAGATAATGAAAGATATGGACCAAATGTAAAAGAAGAGTATTAAAGAAAGGGACAAATATTTATGATAGTATGGTCAAGAAAGACTTCTCTGAAAACCCAGAAATATATGGTCTTCTATACCTGGTAGGAGTTTGGGTTTTATTCTTAGTATTTATTAGAAGTCTTTGTTGAACTTTAACTGTGAGTGGTAGTCTCTGCTCTAGGTTTTCCCAAGATTATTTTGGCTCCGGCATGGAGAATTATGTTTTGGAGGGAGTGATAGCAGCACGAGTCCTGCTGAGGAGGTCTTGTTCGGTAGTCTACGTGAACATGCATGGCGGTTTGGACTAAGGTGGTAGCGGTTGTATTAGTTATTACTATGTAATAAATTGCTGCGAAATTTGGCAGCTGAAGACACCATTTCTGAGGGCCAGGAATCCAGGAGCAGCTTAGCTGAGTGATTCTGGCTTAGGGTGTCTTAAGAGAATTCAGTGAAGCTGTCAGCTGGGGCTGCATCTGAAGCCTTGACTCAGGGTGAAGCGTGGACACTCACATGGCTGCCAGGGAGGCTCTGGAGTCTGGCTGCAGCTGGGCCTCTCATCCTCCAGGCTGCTCTACTCTGTCTGGCCTTTCAGCAGAATAGCCTGCACTATTTTACATGACTTAGGCAAGGATTTCTTAGCTATAACATCAAAACTGCAATATATAAAAGAAAAAAAAATTAATTGAAATTCACCAAAGCTTAAAGCTTCTGTTCTATGGAAGACATTAAGAGAATGAAAAGACAAGCTTCAGCCTGGAAGAAAATATTTACAAATCATATACCTGATAAAGAATTTGTACCCAACACTCAATCATAAGAAAACAAAAAACCCAATCAAATAATGGGCCACATTTTGAATAGGTATGTCACTAAAAAGATGCACAGATGACAAATAAGTACATGAAAAATGTTCAAAATTATTAGTCATTAGGGAAGTGCAAATTAAAACTATATTGAGCTTTCACTACATACTTACTAGAATGGTTAATTAAAAAAAAAAACAACAACTGACAACAGGGACACCTGGCTGGCTCATTTGGTAGACCATGTGACTCTTGCTCTCATGGTCATGAGTTCAAGGCCTACCTTGAGCCTAGAGCTTACTTGAGGGGGAAAAAAAATCCAAAATAAATAAATAAATAGGTACATAAGTAACTAAATAAATAAATCTGACAATACCATATGCTGGTAGGCATTAGAAGCAACTAGAACTCATACATTTCTGGTGAGAAAGCACTGGAAAATATATTGGTTTGACAGTTTTTAAAAAACTTAACCATACACTTATTGTATTATCCAGTAATCTCACTGCAACAAATTTGTTAAAAAAGAAATTAAAAATTATGTTTGCAAAGATTTGTATGCAAGTATCGTACTTACTAGCTTACTTACTTACTTCAACTTGGACCACTAGTACAATCTTGAATAAGAATGGTGAGAGGGAACATTCTTGCCTTGTTTGTTTTTTTCTTTTCTTTTTGTATCCTTCAGTTAATACTGCCTTGTGATAATTTTTAATATCTTATAGGAAATCTTATCTTTTTATCAAAATTGATGGCTCCTTTTGTTTCTATTTCTATTAAGTATGTTAATTTTATACTTAGTTTATGAAATTCTACCCAAAATATTTGGAGGCATTTGATTGGAATTACATAAGTTAGTTTAGAAAGAATGGCATCTATGTAATATTGAGAATTCTAATCCATGAACTTGGAGTTTCTTTCCATTAATTTTAATCTTTAATGACTGTAACAAAATTGTATAATTTTCCCTGCATTGATCTTTCATGTCTTTTATCATATTATTCCTGGATATTTGTTTCTCTGCCATTGTAGTAGTATGTTCCCTTCTCCTCCTCCTTTTTTGTCTCCATCTTCTTCTTCTTTATCTTCTTCAGAAGGAAAAAAAATGTTTTTGCTTTAAGAATTCAGTTATGAACTGCACATTAAACAATTTGTTTATATAGCGATCTCATCAAAGTGTATAGCAATATATTAACAAGCTTGCCACATCTTTTGTTTTCTTTTTTTAATAGATATAACTGACACACGCCATGTTATTATTTTCAGGTGTAAAACATAATAATTTGATGTTTGTATATATAGTAAAATGATCACTACAACAAATCTAGTTGACATCCAGCTTTGTTTTGTTTTATTTTTAAATATTTTTATTTACTTATTTGAGAGAGACAGAGATAGCGACAGAGATAGAGCAGGAGCAGGGTGGAGACAGAGAAGCAAGGAAGCCCAAACGTGGTTCTGAGCAGGGAGCCCTGACGTGGGGCTTGATCCCATGAGATCATGACCTGAGCCGAAGGCAGAGGCCTGATGACTGAGCCACCAAGGCGCCCCATGTTTTTGAACTTGAAAGAAAAATATTCACATTAAGTAGAGAATTAGTTGTAGCTTTTTATAGATGCCTTTTATCAGGTTAAGGAAGTACATACCTATTTATACTTTTATGGAAAGAACAGATGTTGAATTTTGTCAAATTCTTTTCATACATATGATCACATGATTTTCCTTCTTTAATGTGCTGTTATGGTGAACTCTACTGGTTGACTTTAAATGTTGAATTAGCCTTCCATTTCTGGCATAATGGCCCTTATGTATTATCATTTTTATCTATGCCTAGATTTTACTTGCTTATATTTTTTTTGATTCTCTGTGTGTGTGTGTGTGTGTGTGTGTGTGTGTTTTCATGGGGGATTTTGTTCTGTATTTTCTTTTAATGTCTTTGGCTTTGGTCTCAGAGTAATCTTGGCTTTGTTAAATGAGTTTGGAAGTGTTCTCTTCTATTTTCTGGTAGAGTTTGTGCAAAATCGATATTTATTCCTTAAATGTTTGGTAGAATTTGTTATTGAAATGATCTGGGCCTGTTTTTTCTTTGTTGGTAATACTGTGTTTTGATAAGGATTTGGGGCTTTAGAATTAAGTAACCCCAGATTCACATCTTACTGTTAATTTCTCCTTGTAAGACCTTGGGGCAAGTTACTCAGTCTCTAAGTAGCCTGAGCCTCAGTTTTCTCATTTATAAAATGGGTGGCTGCGAAGACTGAATAATAAGCATCAGTTGTTCAATCTGTATTACCCTGAGTTTATATATGTTAACTTATTCAGATTTTGTTATTGTGTCATACTATTTACTACTATTTATGCTGTTATAATCCTTATTTTAGAGGTCAGAAAACTACTGCAAAGGGAGATTAAATAATTTACTCAGAGTTACTCTGGTCGCACATGATGGAGCCAAGATTTGAACTGAGGCTGGTTCTTGAGTTCTTGCTTTAAGTGCTAAGCTGTACTAACCATAATAACACCTGTCTTTCAGGATTGCTAGCAGTATTCAATTAGGCAATTCATGCAAGTAGCTCAATTTGTGTTATTTCAAAGTTGTTTAGTAAATGGGTATTGTTACTAACAATGTGAATTACTGTTAGTTTGAAGTCTAACTACTATGGAATATTTTCAACCTGAAAGACATATTAGTATAGACACATTATTAAATACCTTTATTAAAGTTCACTGCAGGGGCACCTGGGTGGCTAAGTTGGTTAAACATCTGCCTTCAGCTCACGTCATGATCCCAGGGTCCTGGGATAGAGAGCCCCCATGTCAGGCTCCCTGTTCAGTGGGGAGCCTGCTTCTCTCTCTCTCTCTGCATCTCCCCCTGCTTTGCTCTCTCACTCTCTTTTCTGACAAATAAATAAATAAAATCTTTTTTAAAAAAGGACACTACAATGAAATATTATAAACATTTGGTGCCCTGTACAAAGTGATATTGTGAACACCAAATTTTATTCGGCATAGCACCCTGAATTCTTGCGCTGGTTCAGCACTGTCTTTTTGTGTAGCCCTGCTAATTAAATCTCTCAAAGTGTTAGAGGCTATGAAGAATATCTGTTTCCATCACTTTGACCTAAGTTGTTGAGTGGTTTAAAAAAGAGAAGTATCTAAAGGTGCTTTGAAAGGTACAGCTAGTGCTTGGGCGCCTGGGTGGCTCAGTGGGTTAAGCCTCTGCCTTTGGCTCAGCTCAGGTCATGGTCTCAGGTCATGGTCTCAGGGTCTTGGGATCGGGCCCTGCATTGAGCTCTTGGCTCAGCAGGGATCCTGCTTTGCTGTCCCCCCGCCCCCACTGCCTGCCTCTCTGCCTACCTGTGATCTCTCTCTTCTCTGTCAAATAAATAAAATAAAATCTTTAAAAAAAAAAAGTACAGCTAGTGCTCATATTAAATATAAATATTTGGTGTTCTAAGTTGAAAATCACAATTGTTTGTTGATATATATTTTGAGATGATTCTCAATATCATTATTTACTGTGCTAGTACAGTTAGATGCCATTTAATATCAGATTTTTGGGTCTCTATGGTGGTTATTCAGGCTTACCTTATTTTAGCTTTTTTTTTTCCCCTGTCCAAATGAGGTGATGCCTGGCATATGCAAATATCAGATTCATTTTATTTATTTGAAACTTATAAAGGTAACCTAAAAAGTGGAATCACAAGTTTGATAAGTCCTTTGCCCTACTTTTCAGTCAGCAAAACTTATTTTAGCTTTTTAGTGATAAATCTCATTATTTCAAAATATCTAGCACAGCGGCCTATTGTATGCATGTGATTAATTAAGACTGCGAGTGGTGTGGAAGATTGGCACATGGCACGTTTTGACAGAAGGTTAAAACTTTCTGTTGTGAACTTTAATAGTTATTGTGCAGAATGTCAAAAGCTAAGGAACCATGATAATAATAACATTGCGTTTTTTTGTGAATTATAGCTGACTTTGGGCTGGCAAAGCAAAAACAAGAAAACAGTAAACTCACGTCTGTTGTTGGAACAATCCTGTATTCCTGGTAAGGACAATTATTTTATGGTTCTCAAACAGCACACCTAACTGTTTGGGGCTTTAGTATCATGTCTTGGCTTGCAAAAGAAAGACGATTTTGGGAAAAGGAGCTTATTTAATGTTTTCCTCAATTACCCAGATAATACACATGTACACAAGTATACATCATTATGTGTGTTTGAAATAACAACAAGAAATTGTCTTTAGGGTAACTCTGCCCCTCATGGAGACTACTTTCATTACTTATAAATTGAAACGTTCCTTGGCACATAGTAGGTGTGCAATTAATTGTTGTTGAAGAATCTGTGAAGGAACTAACAGACTCGCTACTCACCATGACACTTGGAGTATTTTATTGTACCTGCTTGAAAAAGGACTGTTTTTCTCTCTCTTCCTGTAAACATTCAAGGGCAGGAGAAAGGCTTTTTGTGTACTAATATGTATCCTGGCACCCAGGAGATAATAGGGTCTGAATACATTTTATTGAGTGAATGAATAAATGGTGACCTATATACTTAGACCTATGTTTAAGTTGGCCGCTTCTTGGGTAAATGGGTGTTTATATTTTGGTGAATTGAAACACTTGTAACTTATTTAGCATGCTTTGAGGGTTCCTTTACAATCCATTAATTATTAGGCAGTGAGAATCTTCTTTTGCTGATCACGTATCATTTGTCTGAATCTTTTCAAATTAGCAAGCAGATAGAGTCATCAGTAGACATAACACATTCAGGGAAATATTCTCAAATCTTATTCAGCAGGTCAAGCCATCTAGACACTTCCATCTTCTTTTTTAATCTACTCTGTTGTTGTGCAGTTAATTCCCAGGGATAGGATTCTGAATAAATCTTCTCAAGGGAGGGTGGAAATTCTCTGTAAGTAACAGTCTCATTTTAAAAATGCCTTTCCTACAAGAATATTCAGTATAGTGTCAGGGTTCCTACCACAATTCTGACCCTGTTGGCTAGTTATTCTCTCAAGTAATGACTGCAAATTTAGGACGTTCCTTAATAAACTGAGTGACACGTCCAGTTCCTTTTGAATTTTCTGTATCTTCATTTTCTGAGTTTGTGAATTGGACAAAAATAAAGCAGATATATTTCATGGTCCCTCCCTGCTCTGAGTCTCATACCTCCTGCCTTTTTCTTTAATTGTCCTTTTAGCCATCCCCAAAGTGTTTCCCACCAAATTCTATAATCTTTGTATAATCCTGAACTTCTCTGAGACTATTAATGTAGACATAGGATGCCTGTTCCTGCCTTCTGGAGGCCCAAGCTTTTGATGAGTCTGATGTTCCCCTGTCCTTTGCTCTTTCTTTTGCCTTTGCTTCCTCAAATATTACCTTATTTAATGGAAGAAAGTTCTCTTTATCTACTTTTGTAGGAAGTGCCTCAGAGCATTCTTTATTCTATAGCTCAGCTGCTAGATAAATGGTTTGTGGACACTGGACTGATTGTGCTAGAACAGAAGGTCAATAAAAGCTCCTTTTCTTCCTCTGATTTGATTCATTATGAAGCAGTTCATTGTTATCCTTCTCATGGAAAATAGTCTCCAAATATGGTCCTTGGTTCTGGTTTTTATCTGTATATCTTACTTCAATTCCAGAGTCCAAGATTGCACACTATCTTCAATGGCATTTTCGGAGCAAATTTTAGAGTTTGAAGTTCTGAGAAACATTTTAGGCATGTTCTTCATGGAACACTCATTTGGGATTTCTGGATAATAAGCAAGTATGAGCTAAAATGAATGGAAAACTTTGACTAATCCTGGAATGGGAATTCTTTGAGACTTTATTGCTTAGTGTAATCCCATACACATTATGACATTAGATAATTTAAAGGAAAGCTGGGGAAGTTTCCATTGGATGGATGATAATAAACCTGCAGGTAAACTTGGACAAGCAGAGACAAAGTGAAGCACACCCAACAATTGACTGTACCTCTTGCATTCTTAAAAATGCGGTAATAAACTCAGAACTCTTAAATGACATAGAACAGTTCAGTAACTTCCAGTTGCTAATTATTTAAAGACCAAGTCTTCAGTGTGGCTACAAGCCCACAACCCTGCATGTTCTAGCCCCTGCCAAGTCATCATCTTTACTTTAGCCCTGCCCTCACTCTGTTGATTTCTAGCTGCTGCACCTGTGTTCCCACTGACCACAGGGCCTTGGCACATGCTACTCCCTCTGCTTAGAATCCTCCCCACTGGCCATCTGGTTAAATCTTTTTCATCCTCCATCTCTCTGCTGGAGTGTTGTCTTCTCTGGAGAAACCTCCTAGCCAACACGTATTTTCCCTGGTCTACATATTTCATGCACTTTTCTTTCATATGGTTGAACTTTTCACTTATTTTGTGATATGCCTGGATGATTTTGTTTACCACTATCCCCACCCCAGAGTCTGGTATTTTATAGGCTCACCAGAAGTATTTATTATATGAATGATCTAATACTTGCATGGTTATGAACAGTACTTGACACAATGAGCAATAAAGAAAATTGCTTCTTTCAACTGTAACAAAATTTTAATCTTCTCTCTCTCTCCCCCGTGTGCTGTTCCTTCAGATCTTCAAAATGCTCCTATGGGTTTCTTTTTCTCCGGCTAGCCACAGAGTTTATGTCCTTACTTCCTTCTGGTATCTGCTTTAATGTCACTTCTGGAGGGAGGTTTTCCTGATCATCTACCCCAAACAGCAGCCTCCTTCTGACTGTCCCTTACTCTTGCTTTATATTTTCATAGCATCTGACTCTATCTGACATTATGTCATATTTTAATTGATCTATCCTATGTTTCTCCCACTAAAACACAAACTCCATGATGGTGGGGCTGTTGTTGACTTTGTTCACTGCTGTTTCCCTGGGGCTTGAAGAACAGACTTACAGAATCTTAATAAATATTTTGAATTATTAAAATGAAAAAAAATTTTAAGTGAAAATGAGTCATTCTGGTTTTTTGTTTGTTTGTCTGAAATGCCTTTTTTTTAAACTTTATTAAGTAATTGGGAAAATGGACACATATAGTTGTATATATTTAAAATATACAACACAATGATTTGATTGACATATACATCATAGGATGATTATTAAGATCAGGATAATTAACACATCCATCCACATAGTTAACTTTTGTCTGTTGTGTTCTTGCAACAATGCTCAAGCTCTACTCTCAGCAACTTTTTAGCAAACAATACCATATTATTAATCGCAGACACATACTGTACCTTAGCTCCTCGGAACTCTTCTTATAACTGAAATTTTATATCCTTTGATCTACATCTCCCCATTTCTCCCTTCCCGCAGCCCTGAACAACCATCACTCTACTCTCTGTTTTTATGAAATCAGCTTTTTTTTTTTTTTTGGTCTTTGTCTGGCTTATTTCACTTAGCATATTATCCCCTAGGTTCATTTATGTTGTTGCAAATGGCAGGATTTCCTTCCTTTTAATGGGTAAATAATATTGCATTGTATAAATACTCCATATTCTATATTTTAATATGATGAAAAATCCATGTGTGTTTTTATCAGGGTCTAAAGCACTAATATATTTTTGAATTTTTCTGACTTTTGCCTTCATGAAGCTTAAAGGGAACATTTTTAGTTTGAAACAGTAAGTACTTTGGTGCCAGGGTCTGCTGTATTTTTCCTATTTATTTACTTTATATCTTTCATAGTTACCAGAACAGTGACTAATGGGATCATGCAGGATATTATCATTAAAAAAAAATAAAATGTGGAATGATTAGAAGTTATTGAGACAAGTGTTCTTCTATGACTGATAAATTGGTCCTGAGGGAAATTGCTAAAGAAGAATTTTAAAGAATGAGAGCATAATTGGAAAAAGGATGTGAAATTGGCAGGCAGATTGGTAGGGTCATTATTGAGAGCATAGGCTCTGGAATCAGACTGCTTGGGTTTAAGTCCTGGGTCTACTGTTGAGAGTTATAAATGATTGAATTTCTCTGTGCCTCAGTTTCCCCATCTGCAATCTGAGATTATTAATAGTGCCTACCTTCTAGGATTGTTGTCAGATTAAGTGAGGTAGTACAGGTTGCATGCTTGGAACAATGCCGGATTGGCATATAGTAAGCGCTCATTAGATCACAGTGATTGGTATCTGCTAATTGGAGTCTAAAATTTGAAAGGATGGCACTCATTTGACTATATAGATTATATGGTGTCTAAGAATCAGATTCATTTCTTTTTTTAACAGTATTTTTTTAAAGAATTATTTATTTATCTATTTGACAGACAGAGATCACAAGTAGGCAGAGAGGCAGGCAGAGAGAGAGAGTGGGGGAAGCAGGCTCCCTGCTGAGCAGAGAGTCCAATGCCGGACTCCATCCCAGGAGCCTGGGATCATGACCTGAGCCAAAGGCAGAGGCTTTAACCCACTGAGCCACCCAGGCACCTCTCAAATTCATTTCTGAATAATTACAATAGAGAAGAATTACTTGTGCTGTGTTTATTTATAGTTCATTCTCCTTACCTATCTCTATGTTTGCTCCCTGAATGGCTGCTTTGGTTACTAGGAAGGAACAGGACTTTTCTAGCAGCTGAGGAGTGTGAAAGGGAAGGAGTATGTGTTTAGCATGCAAAGACAGGGAACCTGGAGGAACAGAACTTTCCATACTGGGGCCTTGAGCAGGTGGATGTGGGGGATGCTTTTACTTATATTTGCATTTATTTATGGCTTCTCTGTGGCCAGCAGGATAAGATATACCTGAATAATATATAATTTCACCCCTTTCTGCCCACAGACCCTCCAAGGCTCTATAAATACACACATAAACACACACACACACACACACACACACGCATACACACACACAGACTCTTAGATGAGGTAGGAGTGAATTTTGAACAAACTCAGAATTTATTTACACAAATTGAACTCTGAATACATCTTAAGACTCAGTAGAATATGTCACGTGGTCCCACAAATTTAAATGGAAGCTGCAAGATAGAAACCACTAGAGAGCATCTATTAATGGTGTTCTACCCCATAATG